CGAGCCAATGGAATACGGAGGATATCCCTGGTCGCGCGTGCGCGAAATTTGTTGCAGCTGCTTCACTTCGGTGGGCTTTCAAGAAAAGGGCAATTTATTTTTTCTTTTCAAAATAAAAAACAAAAATTACATTTTCTTTTTCACATTTTCAATGCTTGTTTTCACCAGGGCAATATGTGGATGTGTTGGAGGCAGTGATTTTTCGAAGATTTCTTGAGCTTTTTCGTAATATGTAAGTGCTTTCGAGTACTCTCCCATGTCTTTATACACATTACCGATGTTGAGGTAGGAAGCAGCTAAGTCGGGATGATTTTGAGGGAGAGCTATTTTCCGGATTTCAAGTGATCGTTCATACGATGAAAGTGCTTTCGAGTACTCGCCCATGTTATCATACACCGAACCGATGTTGTTGTAGCCAGAAGCTAAATCAGGGTGATTCGGAGGAAGAGCTTTTCGGTCGATATCAAGTGCTTTTTCATACGATGAAAGTGCTTTCGAGTACTCGTTCATCTTAGAATACACCAAACCGATGCTGTTGTAGGAAGTAGCCAAGTCGGGATGATTTGGAGGGAGAGCTATTTTTCGGATTTCAAGTGATCGTTTATACGATGAAAGTGCTTTCGAGTACTTGCCCATCACATCATAGGCCCAGCCAAGTTTATGATTGTAATCTGCTCGATCGATATCGGAAGAGGCCTTTGCGAGGAGTATTTTGTAGAGTTTTTTTAGCTTTTGCAGGCTCACCCAGTTTAAGAAGTACGAATGCTAGTTGAGGCACTCCTCGTGTTGGTGCTCTTAAGTTGACCTCTACACGTAAGTGCGCCGTGAGTTTGCTAAAATCATCATCTTGATTATCTGCGAGGGTGAGATTAACTTGCCATAGGCGANCATCAATATATATTTTTTTATCCCCCGGTCACATAATTAAAAACATTGGATCAGTGTTATCGTTAGTCTAGATTATGTCGAGATTCATTAAACGATTTACAAAACTAATTATTTTTGGAAAAATTTAGCTCTATCATGACTACATGTGATTAACATGTTCTATTGATCCGTTCTTCCAATTAAAGTTATCATCTTCAGTGCAATCTTTTCTTCAGTACATCGTTCACATTTTTTCATTTCTTTTTTTTATTCGGATATGGTTACACAAAAAAATTAATTAACAGCGAGATCGAAATATTGATCGCAAGGATATTGTTCGCGATGAACAGAACGAAAGAAAATATTCTGCGACGAATTGATCGCGACGAATTGTCGTGCGACGAATTGTACTAGTGCCTGGAATTCGTATCTGGTTTGTAATAAAGAATTCAAATATTTACAATTTTGTTTGCTACTTGTTTTTAAAAAAAATTCTAAAAATGATGATTTGAATGGCAAATTGGTTTTCCAAAGTATTTCATTTATTCTTCTTCTTAATATTATGAGCTATTTAGATATAGACTCTTTGCGAGATTATCAGAGGCATTTTATCTATACATAGTAGCGAGAAAAGAAAGAGAGCACAATATTAAGTTGTACGCCACAGACAAAAAAAGTACGCAAACATCTTAGAGATATATTAGCTAGTCAAATAATCGTCAGTATAAAGCTTTTCAATATTTAAGAAATCATATTTATAGCCATGAAGAGGTTATAATAGCTATAAATAATGAAGAAAATATTTCATATTGTTTAAATGGCTATTAGTTTATAAATAGCAATGGTTTTTATAATCATCCACACGGTTTTTAACCGCTCTCATATGTTAAAATGACTGCGGAGCCTTTTATTCGTTATCCAAACTCCAAATACGTACAACAACTTAAAAAAACGTGGGATGTCTTAATAATCAAAGCAAAACTTGAAGTAGTTGTATAATGATTAGGTACCTACAGGAAACCATAAAGTGGGTATAGAAAATCATTAAGTAGCTATAGAAATTCATTAAGTAGCTATTGAAATTCATTAAGTAACTGTAGAATCATTAAGTAGCTATTGGGATTCATTAAGTAGCTGTTAACTTTTTTCAAAGTATCTCTTTTGAGAAGCTACGGAATGATATATGGCCCTCAAATTTTTACTATTAATAGGACACTGAGAGATGTATCTCTCCTGAAAATTTCAGCTACCCCTACTGTTCCTTTTGCTCAGAGCTGCCCCGTGAAAAACGGAATTTTGATAAATGTGGGGACTTTCAGGATAGGCTTTCTCCCAAGATATGGATTGTCTGGGGCGTTGGCTATTAGAACTTGGAAGTACTCTCTTTGGGCTACAATTTTGTAAAAAAATTCGCGTGGGATCTCCAAGAACGGCCCCAGGGTACTCATTGCAAAATACGAAAAAATGAGCCTTTTCAATGGGAAATCTTCTCAAGTGCACGTCGAAATTACTCGCAGTATCCATTTATATAAGATAAATTTTATCTGGTAAAAATCAGCATTGAATTCTCTATTACCCTGTATCAAAATATCCTTACAAAGTCAAAACAAAAATTTTTTCGAAAAATTCCCCTAGGGGGGTACAGGAGCTATGAGAATAAGATGTTACAGGAAGAGGCCTGGAGGGGGTAGGGGGATTTTTTGTAAAAAGTTCTTTTTTCATTTTGAAAGGATATTTTGATACAGGGTAATAGAGAATTAAATGCTGATTTTTACTACATAAAATTTATATCACATAGTAGAATCCTTGGAGAAATTTTGAAGTGCACTTGATTAGATTTTCTATAAAAAAGGTTAATTTTTTCCTGTTTTCAAATAAGTGCCCTGGCGCCATTCTTGGAGATCCCAGACTAATTTTTTCACAGAATTGTAGCCCAAAGAAAGTACTTCAAAATTCTAATAACCAGTACCCCAGACAATCCATATCTTGGGAGAAAGCCTATCCTGAAGGTCCCCAGATTAATCAAAATTTCGATTTTCACGGGACTACCCTGAGCAAATGGAACGATATGAATAGCTGAAATTTTCAGGAGAGATACATCTCTCAGTGTCCTATTAAGAAAAAACATTTCAGAGTCATAAATCATTCCTATCAAAAGTTATGCAGCGCCAAAGTTACCGAAAATGGACCTTTTTTCATATACTGAGTGCTTCATGAAATCTCAATGGCTCAATATTGTAAAGCGAAAATTTTATCGTAAATATAATTCACTGAGATATATGGCAATAAAAAATTTCAGCTCATTTGATTGAGCTATTCGTGAGATATCGTTGCATTAGGACCCCCATTTATATATTGGGTCATTTTTAGGCCTTTTCGTAAAATGCTCATAAAAAACCGAGGGATCAATATTTTTTGAATCAGCTTGCGTCAAAATTCATAAAACTCTTCCCTCTACAACATATCTTAAATTGAGTAACATCTGACGATATCGGTTGAGCAACTTCGGTCGTGGCTTACATGGACTGGCTTAAATATATCAGTATCGAAATATAATTTACAAAAATTATTTCGACGTATAATCTCATATAATGTGAGTTCAGGTGGCTCGAAAGAGTGTAATGATATATCTTCTATATCTCTTATATCTCTTATATCTCCTATATCTCCTATACCTCCTATACCTATCTATCTCTATATCTCTTATCCCTGGACATAATCGAGTTTCCGGGGATATTCTCCGAAGACATCATATGGATATGTAAGCCCTAATGAGCTATGAATACCCTGAAAAGAGTTTCAGGCAGCTAGCTTATTACTGTTGAGATAGTGCATTTTTGGGCTATTTTTAAGCGCATACGATATACATAAATTAATAATAGTAATTTTTTTTAATCTATAAAAATTCAGCTCACCTATAAATCTTCTCTCTGTTTGTTTATTTTTAGGGTTGCCAAGGATTTTCTAACGGTTCATCGTTGAAAAAGTTGTCATAGGATACAAGGTATTAAGTAATTGAAAATTGAAAGTAGCCATTTAATCTATTTTACCTGTTAGATTATTCCAAACGAGTATTTGATTCTGGCCGTTGAGGAATCTTTCGTATGTAATAGTAGCTAATTCAATTCATATAAAATATCGTTGACATTGAATGTTTTTATATTTCAATTTTTCAAGATTTATGTTCATAAAATGATTTGATGGAAATATGCAAATAAATTAGAATTGTCGATAAGCACGTTCCATCATAAAAAAACAAAAGTATCATTTATTATTTGAATTGATCTAATTTTTTTGAATGCTTATTAATCAGTAATTGAGTTTTTGCTGAAATGTAATATGTTTCAATATATAAAATTATACGTATCATTTCTGTTTTCATTTAATACATGTAATAGAATTAAATTCCTCACATTATAGATTAAAAAATAAAATATTTTAGATATCGTAAAATTGAAATTTTCCTTTTTTCTCTTTCTTATTCCATACAAAACATAGGCGTAACAGCAAGACAATCATATCATTCATTTGTTTGAGTGGCGAGCGCACGACATTCAACTTGTCGTTACACATTTGAGACGGAAAACAAATGAATTGAACGTATTATATGTAATGACAGATAAGATATCGTGCACTCGATTTTTCATCATTCAACATTCACCGATTATTATCATACACTGCGTATCCGTCTATCTGTAACGTCGACGTCGTCTTTTTCGCGTCTGTCTTTTCTGCTTCTTCTCGTTCTTTCTAACAGAAGAACAAAAATTTTATAACTAACGAAGTTTGGGGGCGGCTCTAATACAAATTAACCTCCTCAGGGATATCCGACGTTCTGTTGGGGACCCGTGCACGCGTGTAGATGGTAGACCTTTACAGCATACATCTGTGTATGTATGACTAGAAGCGTCCATCTCATCATTGTCTTTTTTAAGGCGATGATCATGGATGTACTAGTTATACATACATCGATGTATGTTTGCCTAACCATTGCCGGCTTTGCCCACCGCGCGAATCAGCAGAATACGGAGGGTATCCCTGGTCGCACGTGCGGGAAATTGTGCAGCTGGTGCACATGGATTAGCCAAGTATTCAAGATGACCAATTTATTTTCTCGTTTAAAAATAAAAAAATTACATTTTCTTTTTCACACTTTCAATGTTTCTTTTGACCAGGGGAATATGTGGATGTGTTGGAGGCAGTGACTTTTTCCAGATTTCTTGAGCAATTTCGTAATTTGAAAGTGCTTTCGAGTACTCGCCCATCTTATAATACACCAAACCGATATTGTTGTAGGAAGAAGCCAAGTCGGGATGATTAGGAGGGAGAGCTATTTTCTTGATTTCAAGTGATCGTTCATACGATGAAAGTGCTTTCGAGTACTCGCCCATGTTTAAATACACTGTACCGATGTTGTTGTAGGAAGAAGCCAAGTCGGGATGATTATGAGGGAGAGCTGTTTTCCGGATTTCAAGTGATCGTTCATACGATGAAAGTGCTTTCGAGTACTCTCCCATCTTATAATATACCGAACCGATGTTGTTGTAGGACGAAGCCAAATCGGGATGATTTGGAGGAAGAGCTATTTTCTGAATTTCAAGTGATCGTTCATATGATGAAAGTGCTTTCGAGTACTCGCCCATGTTATTATACACCATACCGATGTTGTTGTAGGAAGAAGCCAAGTCTGGATGATTCGGAGGAAGAGCTATTTTCTGAATTTCAAGTGATCGTTCATACGATGAAAGTGCTTCCGAGTACTCGCCCATGTTTCTATACACTGTACCGATGTTGTTGTAGGAAGCAGCCAAGTCGGGATGATTAGGAGGGAGAGCTATTTTCTTGATTTCAAGTGATCGTTCATGCGATGAAAGTGCTTTCGAGTACTCGCCCATGTTTAAATACACTGTACCGATGTTGTTGTAGGAAGAAGCGAAGTCGGGATGATTCGGAGGGAGAGCTATTTTTCGGATTTTAAGTGATCGTTCATACAATGAAAGTGCTTTCGAATACTCGCCCATGTTATCATACACTTTACCAAGCTGATGATTATAATCGGATCGCTCTTTGTCAGTAGATGCTTTTTCGAGTAGCATCTGACAGAGATGTTCTGCTTTTTGGGATTCCCCTATGCTAATTAGTATATCGCCTAACCGAGCCCATCCTTTCACCCAAGTGAACTCTGCTCGCAGTCGTGCCGTAAGTTTATTAAAATCATCGTCTTGATTACCTGAGAGGGTGAGATTGACCTGCCATAGCCGATCTGTATGCTCGTCGTGAATTCGTTCAATGCGATCGATGCGAAAAATTGTATGTGCTGTAAAAAGTATTTCTTCTTCATTGCTGTGGAAAAAGCTAACTTTGCTGACTTCGGCGAAATATGTCGATGATTTCATGCAGATCACTGCATCGATGGCCATAACAAAGAGTATGCCAACGGAAGTAAAATTTCGTGTGGCTGGCCGTGCGAAATTTTCCAGTGAGATCGTACGATTGTGACTGGTTGACAAGAAATTATTAAAGGACATAAGTCCTCCTTTGGATTTTTTCATCTTTTCAAAGTCTTCCATGGACAGACCTTGTCCGCGAAAGACTTGAAATTTGACTGGTACGGTGTCTTGTTGTTCGCGGTGTAATTCTGCGATATGATTGTGTAGGTGGCGGATGAAGAAGCCCATTTTAAGTATTATGTCGACATCCATTTGTCGAAGTCCACGATTAAGCATTGGATAAATGAACGTTTCCGCTGTATACCACCATATTGGCGTATGAGCACGATATTCGCGTTCAATTATTTTAATTTGATCTTCTGGTATATCGTCTTCCACACGGCAAAAATCAACAAGATCTTGAATAGATTTTTTATCATCGTCTTCGATTTCCAACAGTGCTTCTTTTAATAATTGAGTATACATGAACAGCGGATCTAGGCCATTATAACTGATCGAAACCATAGCTTGATCACATCGTTGTCGATCGATCTCAAGTGCTTGGCAAATTGATTTAATATCGGTGTAAACACCTTTGACCTTCGAGAATTTGTTGGTCCATTGTTCATGCACTGATTTATTGCCACAAAAGACAAAAATTGAGTCTAATTGTGGTAGTTCTTGAATTTTTGGTACTATTTGTCGTCCTAATGCACCAGATACAATCATGAAAACTTTTTCATTTTGAATTTCACCAAGAAATTTAAAACATTCTGCGGCATCCGTAAATGTTGTAATGGATGCCACAATATGCCGTAGATGTTTTAATGACATTTTAAAATCTTCCTTGGTCTCATCAATATTCGCATCGAGCCAGACGAGAAGGAAGTTTTGAACAACCCGACGGACAGGTCGGGGAAGTGGGGCATTTCTGCTTGCCGGTGCTGTTGTTGGTTTTGCAGCAATGGCTTTTGATGACGATGCTTTTTTGGATTTGGCTGTCGTGGAAGACGAACCACTAGCATTTGCTTTTAAATTTTTTTTGTCCATCGATCGTAATAGTGTTGATAGTGACAATAATATAGTTGTTATGTTGTAGATGAATAAAAAAAGTGTTTCTCTCTCTCTCGTTATCTCGAAATATTTTTTCGTTCTTTGTTCCTATTTATGTTGAGACTCGTTGCTTTTTGGCTTGTGGCTATCGACTTGAAGAACGTCTTACGTCAAGCGTTTATTCTTTTATTTTAACAGTGTTGCTAGCGAAATTTGTGTATTTGCATGTAACACGACGTGACGGTAGCAAGAACGAAACAGGTAAAAAGGATTGCATTATCGTCATAGATACAAAAAAGAAAAAACAAACTATAAATAGAATTCAAAACATGTTTTATTGCTTGTTCACATTATCCTCTCTTTGGTTGTTGTTGTCTCGGGCTCCATTAGAAAAAGGATGATGGATGGAGGGTGTGGGGTGTGAGTGCGGGTGCGGGATGTGGGTGTTGGTGCGTGCGGGTTTGGATGCGGGTGTGGGTGTCCGTGAGGGTCTGGGTGTGGGTGTGGGTATGGGTGTGCGTGAGGGTGTGGGTGTGGGTGTGGGTATGGGTGTGCGTGAGGGTGTGGGNTACTGGCAGGACACAACTTCTAAATATTCTTAATTTGGCATTGATTGAGATAGTTTTCCTATACCATACGACGTTTCGTAACATGTTGAAGGCTTTTGTGGCTTTCGATAATCTTGTTTCTAATTCCATATCAAATTTTTGGTCGGCTGTTACTAGAGCACCCAAATAAGTAAAGCTGTTGGTAATTTCCACTTTTTGATTTCTGACGTTGATGTTTGGATCGCAGTGGACGATTCGTTGTTGTTTGTTGACTTTTCCATTTACATTGAGTTCAAATTCTTCCAATGATATGATTACCGTTTTCTTTACACTCATTGTAAGGCCATATTCTTGTGTGACTTTTGCAAACACCATGATAAATCTTTTCAAATCCGCCAATGAGTTGCAGAATGACACCAGATCATCCGCATACATGAGTACTAAAATTTCAAACAATGTATAATTCTCTTTGTCTGGATGGTAAAAATCGTTGCTTCCATGTGCCAACTTGATTCCTTCTATATCTGCCTCTTCCAGCACTTTCCAGATGATAAAATCGAAGAAGACGTTGAATAAGAGTGGCGCCGGAATATCACCTTGCATAACACCAGTTTCTATGTCGAAGCTGTTGGACAATACTCCATTGATTCGGACTCTTGCCTTACTGTTGTTGTGAAGCATTTTCAGGAGATTAACAATTTTATCAGTTAGTCCGTAAGCCTTGCAAATCTTCCACAATAATTCTCTTTTAATTGAATCATATGCTTTCTGAATATCAATAAAACACATATGCACTGGTTTGTTGTATTGTTTGTATTTTTCCATTACAATTCTTAAGGTGAAGATTTGGTCAATTGTTGATCGATTTACACGAAAACCTGCCTGTTGTTCCAGTAATTGTTTGTCAATTATAGTCTGAATCCGATTTAGAACTACACGAGAAAATAATTTTCTAACCGCCACTAAAAGAGATATTCCACAGTAATTATCACATATTCTCTTGTCACCTTTGTTTTTGAAGAGACGAATCAGAATTGCCAGTGACCAGTTCTCTACCATAACTTCGTTGTTACAAATATCAACAAATAATTTGTGCAACCACCTAAGCACCGGCGTTCCTCCAACTTTCAACAAATCCACCGTAATTCCATCATTTTCTGGGGCTTTTCCACTTTTCATTTGTTTTAACGCTGTTTTCACTTCCATTATTGTTGGTGGTTTTTCTTGTCGACTTTTTTCAGTTGATGAAATATTTTTAGGTTGAATTTTGTTCGCTGTTGTTGGGTCAATGATCACCTTGACATTCAGTAATTCGTTGAAATATTCTTTGAATCTTTCCAATCGTTCACCAGTACTACACAGGAAGTTACCTTGTTTATCCAAAATTGGCATATTTTCAATTCTTGTTTTACCTCCTCGTAATCGTCGAATCATTGCGTAAGCCGTTGTTGGATCATGTTCTTTGATGTTTGCTTCTATTTCCTCGCTCAGTTCATCCCAGTATTCGGTTTGTCGTGCTATTAATTTTTCCTTCACCAGTTTCCTAAGTTCGACGTATTTTTCACACCACTTCTTTTTTAATTTCGTTCCACGACTTGCTATCCACTCCGCATATGCATCTCCTTTCTTTTCCACCAATGCCAGAATTTCGTCGGTAATCCATTCCTTTGATTTTTTTTGTTGATGTTTTCCGCTGGCTTGAAGTATTTTGTAGCTGTTGTCTTCATTATGTCCACAAATTTTTCATATTTAAAATTCACATTGGTGTTTGTAGAGGATATGATTTTGAATTGTTGTGCCAATTCGTTCTGAAACGTCGCCACAGTTGTATCATCTTTCATTTTTGTTTTATCAACACGAAACTGCTGATGTTGTTGCGTTCGTCTACGTGTTTTGAGATGAAGTTTGACTTTGGTTCTCATAAGAAGATGGTGGGTACCAATTACACCTACTGCTTTTCTGTGGAAACGGAGGTCTTCAACACTTGATCGAAATTTTTTGTTTACCAAGGTGTAATCTAATGTATGCCATTTCTTGGTTCTTGGATGCATCCATGATTTTTGGTGGACTGTTTTTATGTTGGAAAAATGTATTGGTGATGACCAAATTATTTTGTCAAACAAAATTCATTGAGTTTTTCGCCGTTGTATGTTCTCAAATCACTTGCAAACGGCCCAACTGTTTGTGAAGAAGTGTTGTGTTCTGTAAGGCCAAGCCGGGCATTGAAATCACCCATAAACAATACCATGTAGTTGCTTAATACTTTGTCGTAGGTTTGTTGAAGATCGTGGTAGAAGTTACCAGTAACTTGTTTTGTCGCTTTTGATATTGGACTCACAGATGCGTAGACTGCGATAATGGTTATGTTGATTGGTTTGCAGTAGATTATAATTCGTAATATCCGTTCGTTTATTGCTTCCCATTGTACTCCTGATTCTTGCCAGATACATGTTGATTCTTTGTTCATGCACATTGCCACACCATGAGCAGTTCTTATTTTGTCAGTGCTTGGTAATCCAGAGTAGATGAAAGTGTATTCGCCGATCGTTTTTTACACCAGTGTCGTAGAT